CACACACACACACACACACACACACACACACACACACACACACACACACACACACACACACACACGCACACACACACATTTTGAGCAGCCCATGCAGCACTAACACCACTGTCTCCATTCACACATGTTGACCTCACAGTCTCATTCCAACACACACTCTCAAAATTTGCTTGATATGAACTTTAATTTTTGAGTATAAGAACTTTCATGTGCAGTGGAGGACATTGAAATTCGTCCTCTGGTTACCCCCCCCCCCCGGCTCTGCTGTTATTCTACACTCCCTTTGCTCATTAATCAGTGGCTCTTCCCTGCAGGGCGGGGGTCAATATTCCGAGGAGGTGGGGGGAGGAGCGAGGAGACGCCACCATAGAGTGGTGCTCCATAATGGATAAGTTTCTCTGTCCAGGACAAGAGAGGCTGCAGCTTCAACCTTCAGTGCAGACGGCTGCTCTCTGTTTGTGACTCTGTTTCCGAGCAGCAGCCTCAGGTTGATCTGATCATCAGCAGTGAAGCAGAGTTGACGTAGTGGTGAAGTTAGTTCAGCTGGACACATGAGGGGCTTCGCTCAGATTCTGTTTGAATACAACTTTCTGTGATTTCTCCAAATGCTGTGAGAGCTGAGCTTCTTCTCCCTCCATCTCTACCCAGGCTCCACCCCCCTCACCTCAATCGTTGCCCACCTTTTCCTGGTGAACCCAGCGTTTCTAAGTGAGGTGCTTCAGGAAACTAACTTCCATTAAAGCATCTGAGAGTGTACCTGTACGTTGACACCTCGAGACCCAGAGACATCTTCATCTGCAGCAGGCCTCGGTTCTCCAGGAGGAGACGCTCAATCTGTCGGCCCAGATCCTCCCTCTCAGCTTCCAGGCCCTCCAAGTGCGCCTGACAAAACAGGAAGTGAGGCAGGAAGAGGAAGTGGTTTAAAAAAGGCACGAAGGAACTCTTAAGTCAAAATAAACATTCTTTGTTAGTCATAAGCTGTGCGCTGTTGAAATGTTGAAGATTAAGTCTTCGTTTGTCTCTTTTAAATCCCTCGTTAAATGAATTTACCTGAATTATTATTTATTTTTTTATTCCTTTAAATAAATTTTATGTCTTTAGAGTTTTTTTAATGAATATTTTCTTTTAATTTTCGTGATTCCTTCATTTTTGCTCATGATTTTCTGACCTGTAAAACCTTGTAAAGCTTAGATTTATCTTAGATACAAAGAGCTCTATAAATACAGTTATTAGATCAAGGTTAGGGTCGTGCTTTAATAGAGGATGTCTACAGGTAAACAGGATCTGTACCATGAGGATGTTCTGGACTCACCTGCAGCTGCTGGATCTCCTGGTTGTGTTTGTCTCTCTGCTGAGCTGCTGTCTTCTCCAGATGCAGCCTGACGTCCTGAGCTGAGTCGATCTCCTTCTCCAGGGCTTGGAGCCTCAGTTGGCTCTCGCCCTTCTCCTGGACCACTTGGGTCAAACGGCCCCTGGCCTGGTTGAGTGACTCCTCCAGCTGAGCCAACTGGACCTGGTGGGACTCTGCGGCCTCCTGCCAGGCTCTGGCAGCCCTCTGGGAGAACTCCTGCCCCAGCTGGAGGAGGTTTGGTGTCTGGTTGCCCCTTTGAGCCATGGGGGGTATCGTGGCTCTGGAATGGATCAATGTAGACTCCATGTGGGCCACATCCTCCTGATGGGTTTGAATGAGGTGACTCATCTCTTGCTCCAGCTGGCTGACCTGCTGTCTCAGCCACATCTGTGCCCTCTGTTCCTCGTCCAGCTCCTTCCTGCTTTGCTCCAGCATCTTCTTGGCCTTGACGTGAGCTTGAGCCTCCCTCTGCCTCTGCAGGTCCAGGACTTGAAACTCCTCGGCCAGCCTGCCGACCTCCATCTCCGTGTGGGCCCTGTCCGCCCAGGCTGCATCCAGCTCCAGTCTTGCCTGACGCAGCTCCTCCTCTAAGCCCTTCCTGCGAGTGGAAGCTCCGTGGTTGCTGCGTCTCAGAGCTCCAATCTCCTCTGCAAGCATCAGATTTTCCTCCTCCAGGTGTTTGACCCGACTCAGGTAGGTCTCCAGGCGTCCGTTCAGGTTCAGCATCTGTTGCTTCTCATCACCCAGGTGGCTCTGGGGAAGGGGTTTTCGTGCAAAGTGCAGCTCCATGTCAGTGTCAGGAACCACGGCCTCACTCAGAGCAGACAACTGTGACTCCGAGACCAAGCCTGAGTCAGGATGTGTGTGTGTGAGTGAGGCTCCTGTGAGGATGTGGTGGTGTGAATGCAAGAGGCTTCCCTTTCATACCAGAATTAATGAAGGGGCTGGACACATGGAGGGGAGGAGGGATGGAGAGGGAGGAGACTGGGGGCTGGAGAGGGAGGAGAGAGGAGACGAGGCAGGATGGAGAGGGAGACATGTGGAGGCGGGTGGAGGAGATGTGAGAGGGCAGACAGAAGGAGTGATGTAATCTCCAAGGTTAACTCTTTCACTGCTGGCACTTCTTTTTGTAGATGCAGAAAAAACCTGCACTGATCAGAAGGTGAAAGATTTTATGAACAGAAATTCAAACGTTATCAGAGAATCACAACAAGCATTTAGGGTTTTAGACTTTAATATAGAGGCAGCAGAAGGAAGGCCACGTTATAAACCAGTTACCAAGTAGGTTACAAGGAATTTGTTCTTGAAGCTGAATAACATGTACAATTGAAATTATATATATTTAATATTTGATGTATGTGCAGAATGACCGTTAAAGGGAAAGTTCATGTGTCACAGGTGAGGACATGTATGCCTCATGTGACCTCACTGACCTCTCACCTCTGTCCTCTGAATTTCTTTACTTAATTCAAAGTTTTCCTCCAATGCAACAAACCCTCACGTTTGGTTTGATCAGAGCTAAATTAGTTATTCTGAGTGGAAACAGATTTCCACCTATTGCTTTTGGTTTTGTTGGTTGGACAATGGTGGACCTGCGTGGAGCTTTTGGTCATGAAGGTGTTGAGCTGCATGTGGAGTCACACTCACAGTTCCAGTCATGTTCAGCAGCAGGTTTGGAAACTGTTGATGATTCACCACTTATAAAAGTCATGTTTTATCGGCCGTGCACTGAAGTTTGCTCTGTGATGCCAGGGAACATCACAGTCTGACTTCCACATCGCCATCTAGTGGATATCTGACAAGACTGCAACAGTGCAGAATCAGATTTATTTACCATGTGTCCAAGGAGTTTGACTCCGGTGTTATTTCGCTCAGTGCACTTAAACGGACAGACATACAATTAACAACAGACTGCAAGAAACTAGCTAAATAAACATGTACAAGGGTGAACTAATATGCAGATATGGTGGAATTGTTGAACAATAGTGCAGTGGTGCAAAGATAGATAGATAGATAGATAGAGTACTTTATTCATCCCCGGAGGGAAATTAAGGATGCTCAGACAAATATGGATCATTAAAGTACATGTTACTTATATACATGAGGTAGGTGCAGAGTTGTTGGAGCAAGAATGGATCATAATGTAAAATGTATACACCAGGTAAATGAATTACACAATTTCCCGCTGGGGTCATTAAAGTATTTCTGAAGAAGTGTTTCTGAATCTTATGACAGGAGTGCATTAGTATAACGTACAGTATGAACAGTCTGATTAGATTTACATTGTCTGTGATGTGTTCGTACACTTTCACTGAAGCTGCAGCTACAGAAGGTGTCAGTAACTTTAAGTGCATGTTTGTATTAAAGTTAAACCACAATCACAACCTGACAAACCTCAACAACAGACTCGGGTCAGACAGTGAAAACAACCTGAGGGTCAGGTTTTGAAAAGTGCAGTGAACTCACGGTGAATCGATCAGTAATGTGGATGTGGTTCATTAAAGCTCGTTAATCACTTTATTAGAAATGTCTCCATGTTTATGATCTGCTGAGCAATTTAATATAAAAAGTTATGGTTCGATTAACTGACTCAAAAAAACTCATCGTAAGAACCTAAACTGAAACGACACCAAAGGAACTCTTCATATCCTGGATACTACTGCAGGAACAAACGTGTCCTTGTGAAGTGCGATGATTGTTTTCTATAGTTTTGAGCTGTATTGTAACGAGTTTAGTTTATTTAATATTCATTCTGATTCGGACCCACGAGTCCGAAAGTCACTGTTTTTCAACGACTGAACAGTGAGTGCTGAAAATGACGGTGGCGCCTTGAACGCATCGCTGTCCGCTGTCCTCTAACTGCGACTGCGCGGAATCCGTTTCCCGGAAGTAGCAGCGTTGTTTTGCTGCGGGACGCGGCGCCAGTTTAACGCCACAAGTCAAACGCGAAGCCGCGGCGAACACACCGAGCACACGGCCCTTCCCGCGATGCTTCCCCCGAGCTGACGAGCCGAACTCTGCTGCGAGTCAAACGCGGACGTTTCCGGAACACCCCGCTGGGTTCTCCGGGGCCAGCTAACGGCTAGCTAGTCTGTTAGCCGGCTAGCCTGTTAGCCTGTCGCCCCCTGTCAACAAGTGGTGTTCGGGATGGACTCCGCGGCGCTGGAGCTCGATGCGGTGAAATTTGCCAAAACAGCGGTCACCTACGACCAGAGCGGCAAATACAACGAGGCCGTGTTTTACTACAAGGTGAGAGGCTTAAAGTCAGCCGCTGGGACCCGCTGCTGCTGCTGCTGCCGCCGCCTGGTGGTAGCACTTAGCTTAGCTGCAACTTTGAAGAGTCGCTCGAATACAAGACACCAGACATCACGTGTCATTTTGTTGTGGAATGAAAATGTACTTTTATCTGTTTCATCGTCCATCAACTCTTCACTCAGTAGAAGTATTGTTCTCGTGTACAATACAACTCCCATCACAGTATATTCACTATCAGTAGTGATATTTACACTCATGACTACTCACTGACGCTTTCCTACTAGTATTACTACTAGTATTACTACTAGTATTACTACTACTATATATTGATACTAACCTTGGAGCAAACTGTCACGTGAATTTCCTTCAGGATTCATAAAGTCTCATCCTATCTGAGGAACTGTTTCCTGTTTAAACATTTGATTTGCAATGTACATGAGCTCCTTTACACTGTGTTATTCATACTGTAAAATATCACGTTCATTCAAGCTTTAAGTTTTATACATTCATATGCAAGTTAACGCAGGGTCAACATTATGAGGAAAGGTGTTGGACGAGAAGAAGCCAGCTCAGCAGTGCAACAGTTAAATTAAAATGAAAGTATACACACAAAACCAAACCGAACCATCCATTCAAATGTGCAGTGTGATGTTCCTGCTCTGAATCTTTCCTGCTACACTAACACATGTCCAATTTTCCCTTTAACACTTATTTATAACCTGTATTGTTGATTCTGTGTGTTGTTGTTTTTTTATCTTTCGCATATCTTTTGTGGGTGTGGTTTTCATAAGAGCCATTACTGGTTTCCACCACCACACCCCACACGTACTTTAAGCTTCGATCAAGTAGCTAAACTACAAGAACACATCAAGAAAAACAAATGATCAAGTTACAGCATCATTTCATGTGGATACGTTTTGTGACTGTCAGTATTTAATTGCTTTTGCTTGTTTTATGATTGTTTCCAAAAGGAGGCCGCCCAGGCCCTGATATATGCCGGCATGGCAGGATCCAAACTGGAGGGAATCCAGGACAAAGCGAATGAATACCTGGATCGAGTCCAAGCCCTCCACAATGCTGGTAAACTCACCCGACACTGTTTCGTTTTACTTTTCCTGGTTTGAGCTGATCCTCGATTCATTTGTCACCGCTCCTCCCATCATCTCTATCAGACATTTGCTTACGTGTAAAGTTGTATCGCACACTCAAAGTGCTTTATGTAAGATATTAAAGACATGACAAATTGTAAAAGCAACATAAGACGATACAAACAAGAGGCATTTAAAAAGTGTTCCATCGAGATTAAATTAAATGAGAAATTAAAGTGAAAGTATCAGTGTAATAAATTTAACAAGTGGCCGTGGAAACAGGAAAGTCTGCAGCAGATATGTAAACGTATAAACAGGCATCATGGAAATATTGTTGAAGAAATTAAAAGTTAGTTTTTCTTGTGTTTCTATTTTATTTCTGCTTCTGTTGTGTTACATGATTCCAGTAATCTCACCTTCAGTTTATATAACCTGTAGTCGTACAGAAGTAAATGTGTGTGATTAGTCAACGGTAAGAATGATTCAGGACTTTAAGTGAATGCACCCCGAGGACATACTTTCTCAGTTGCTGTCTGACAGCTGTTTTCCATGACTCTCGTCACAACATGGGTGTGTTTGCACGTGGGTGTGACCAGAGTCTGCTGGAAACACTGGACGACCTTTAAGCTTTAATGTTTCCTCTGAAATGAAAAGCAAACAGTTGAGCTAATGTTGTTCGAAAGATCAAATTCAGCCGTCTCGCTTTTTAATAAAGGTGTTTTAAAAACTGTTTTTGTAAGTTTACAGTCTGCGTGACTTCTTTTAAGTGTTAGGTTCTGGACTGGTAAAGCAAGGAGAAACTCACTTGTGGCTCTTTGGGTCGGGCAGATGGAAAGACTGCCATCGAACGCACCAGCCCGTCTTAAACTGTCCAACGAGTCTTGTTTGACTTGATTAGTTTACAAAAGCCAAACTGGGCTTTTTTTCCCTGTGTGGAAAAACTGTCCATCTGTCTGTCGTGTGTCCTAACCGTACCCTCTCTGACACTTTCACCCCAGTCCAGGCGCAGAAGAGCGACCCGCTGAAGTCCCGGCAGCAAGTGGACATGGAGCGTGCCCACTTCCTGGTCACTCAGGCCTTTGAGGAAGACGAGAAGGGAAACGACGACGAAGCCGTCGAACTTTACACTCAGGCTGTGGAGCTGTGCATTACGACGGTACCTCTTTGTTTCTCTCTCCCCACTGTGACTACATTTAACTGCTTTCAGACAAGATCTCCAGACGTTTCCCTGAAATGCTCCGGATGAGCCGTAAACAACAACACTGATGTTTCCACAGCAGAACTTATACGTCATGTCCCGCCTCCTGCTGCTCTACAGGCTCCACCCCTCGTTCCCCACATTTTCCTGTTGTTGTGAACGAGTCTGACTTATGTCTAAACTAATGTTCATGTCTGGAAACAGCTTTGGTCTCCCCTCACATTATTCCAGCTCATTTCCACATTTGTTTCTCTTTCCGTGTTTCCAACAGTCCAACGAAACATCGGACCAGGCGCTGCAGACCAAACTGAAGCAGCTAGCACGCCAAGCCTTAGACAGGTAAATTAGAAAATGACCACTGTCTCCTTCATCCAAAGACCGAATGTCCATTGACCAAACCTGCCTGTTCCCCAGTCGAGGTCTCGGTGGTGACTGGTTCAGAGGCAGTGTGGGTTTGTACACCCTGTTCTTGAGTTTACTCGTTTCAAGTTTGTTCTTTGGTTCATTTCTTTTTTCTAGTTTGACCTTCTGTAATTCACTTCTTCTGATCTTTATTTTTGAATCATGACAGCTCTGTTTGTGAACACATTTTAAGATTATTTGTATTTTGTTTTTCAGTGTTAATTAAAGAAACCTCCTGCTCTTTGTCCTTCCAGAGCTGAAGGTCTTAAAGAGTCCCAGTCCAAATCCTCTTCAGCCCAGACTCAGGACAGGACGGGGCCCTTTGGAACCAAGAATGTAAGCGGGGGCAGTTCTGGGGGACCGGTCCGCCAGTTTTTCCCCCTTGGGCCAGACTTCACCCTCCACGACCGACCTCAGCCGATGCGGGCGGTCCAGTCCAGTGAGCCGCAGGGTCAGCGCTACACGTCTGAGGAGATCGAGGTGCTCAGGTGAGTGAATTTGAAAATGTGTCTCAATATGTGACTGTTAAAAACTTTTAAAGGGTTTTAAATTATCCTTGGAATCTCTTGAAAAATGTTTTGAAACTCTACATACGTTTTAAAGTTGAAAACCCTCGAAAAAGTAACTTGACACCGCCTCACTCACTGAGAAAAAAGAAATGTTCCTCTTCTTTTTTTTTTTTTGACCACAACTACTTCTGACTGTCTTGTCCTTGTCTTTCAGGAGTACATCTAAAATCAATGGGATAGCCTACGTGCCCTTCATGAGCGTGGACCTGAAGGAGCGATTTGCCTTTCCTGTCCCTTTCTCGTGAGTTTAAGTTATTTTGAAGGTCATTTTTTTATTTTTAATATTATATTTTGCATTTACGTTGTCACATGAGTCAGTTACGTTGTGAATTTCTCTGAAAACCTGAGTGAGATTGAAGTTGGTGATAAGAAAAGCTGCATCGAGCCATCTGATTTTTTTAAATATTAGGTTTGGTTTTGGTTTCGACGCTTAAATTCTTAATTTTCTTTGTTTCTTGCAACCAGGGACAAATCCGGGAAACTGGCGCTGTCACCCAAACAGAAAGCCATCTTCTCCCGCTGGGTGCGGCCAGACGAGATCTGCAATAACCCCACGATGATCATGTCTGTGTCCAGCTTCAGCATCAAACAGGTCAGAGGGTCCAGTCACTGTGTGTCTTCGTCTTTTGATTGACATGTGAAGAGCTTAGTTTGCACATTTTAGCTTGTTTAGAGTAAAGAGTTTAGAGTTGACTGTCCTGTTCAGACCTGGTGTTGACATCTGTCCGAAGAGATCTAATCACAAGTGTTCAGCTTTAAGTTTATCTGTTCACACGTGTTCTTAAAATGTGTCCTCTGGGACCACGTCATATCAGACCTCATGTTCCTGCTCTATATGCAAATAAACACACACGTCATTTCTGTTCATGGAGAAATCATGTTGTTTACACAGTGTGAGTTTACAGATGTGTCGGAGTTAGTTGAGGCTGAGCGAATCGATGCTCTGCGTGCAGCCCGACCGTGGAATGAGATTTCACCCATTTGAAAAGAAGGAAAAGAAAATCGTTACGTTCGGTCAGTGTTGATATTGAGGCAACAAATAAATCAGTGTATGTGAAACTCTGAGAGGTATAAAAAAAATAGTTTAGGTTCACCTGCAGGGGTCAGAGGTCGGAGAAAGTGGTCCTTCGTATGTGGCTCAGGATCTCAAACGTTCACGCCTGAACTTAGAGCTGAGTTATTTTATATTCAAAACATTGACAAATATCCTTCTGTTGTTTGTTTCTGTGGTTTACTGAATATTTCACAATAGATGAGGATCTTCTTCAAAGACATGATGAAATAACCTTTGGCGTCTTTGAGCGTTCAAACCTTCACGACACGGTCTCACGTACGCAAATCTTTGCCGTTAACTTCTAATCAGTGGCAGCAAGGAGACGATTAAAACATCTGCCTCCTGTGGCGACGCAGCGCGACGAGCTTTGGTGAACTTGGAGCTATGATATTTGCTTTGCATTCGTGTGTGTGTGACCGTGCCCTCAGACTGTAAATAATGATGAGTGACATGTCTCCACTTCCTCCCTCTATCCAGACGCCAAAATATGCTGAATGTCATCACTGCCATCTTGCTCATTTGGAAACAGAGTCTGCGCACACCCCACAGCTGTTGACTGTCTGCCAATCACATTCCATCTTGTGTGACCCTCCTTCTTTTCTCTTGTCCAGACGGTCGTGTCTGACTGTTCCTTTGTGGCATCGCTAGCCATCAGCGCAGCCTACGAGAGGCGCTACAGCAAGAAACTTATCACCAGGTACTTTGTGGTGGTTTTAGGGGTTTCATCTGTATTTTTTTTGTCCGGGGCAAACAACATAAATCTTGTTTTTCCTTCTCAGTTTTATGCCTGTCAGCTTTGAAATGCAAGTCGAATGGCTTTTCACTCAAGAAAATACATTTCCCCTTAAAATTCCATGAGCGTTTTGTCACAGTCTTCAATGTGGCACGATATTCGGTTGAGACTTAAAGGTTCCTGCAGTCGACCACAGTAGAGCAGACAAGCTCAACACTGTATTCACAAAAAACAAAGTTTGGTATTGACCTTAATAATTCAACTACACCTGCATTACCTACCTACAGTCTTAGTGTGATGAAGACTGAGTTCAGAATCTTATACTCTGTGTGTGTGTGTGTGTGTGTGTGTGTGTGTGTGTGTGTGTGTGTGTGTG